ATCTATTGAGATGATCAAGTGGTTTTTGTCTTTGCTTCTGTTAATGTGGTTTATTACGTTTATTGATTTTCATATGTTGAACCACCCCTGCATTCCTGGGATGAAGCCTACCTGGTCGTGGTGAATAATCTTTTTGATGTGTTGCTGAATTCGATTTGCCATTATTTTGTTGAGGATTTTTGCATCAATGTTCATTAAGGAGATTGGCCTATAGTTCTCCTTTTTGGAGGTGTCTTTGCCTGGTTTTGGGATAAGTGTAATACTGGCTTCATAAAATGTGTTTGGCAGTTTTCCTTCCCTTTCTATTTCATGGAACAGTTTAAGGAGGGTTGGTATCAGTTCTTCTTTAAAGGTCTGATAGAATTCAGCAGAGAATCCATCAGGTCCTGGACTTTTCTTTTTGGGGAGACTCTTGATTGCTGCTTCAATTTCATTTTGTGTTATAGGTCTATTCAGGTGATTAATTTCCTCTTGGTTCAGTTTTGGATGATCATATGTATCTAGAAATCTGTCCATTTCTTTTTAGATTTTCAAATTTATTTGAATATAGGTTCTCAAAGTAGTCTCTGATGATTTCCTGGACTTCCATGGTGTTTGTTGTTATCTCCCCTTTTGCATTCCTGATTCTACTAATTTGGGTTTTTTCTCTCCTCATTTTAGTCAGGTTTGCCAGGGGTCTATCGATCTTGTTTATTTTTTTCAAAGAACCAACTTTTTGTTTCATTAATTCTTTGTATGGTTTTTTTGGTTTCTATTTCGTTGATTTCAGCTCTTATTTTTATTATTTCTCTCCTTCTATTTGTTTTGGGATTTGCTTGTTCTTGTTTTTCTAGGAGTTTGAGATGTATCATTAGGTCATTGATTTGGATCTTTCAATCTTTTTAATATATGCACTCATGGCTATAAACTTTCCTCTCAGACTGCCTTAAGCTGTGTCCCATAGGTTCCGGTAGGTTGTGTTTTCATTTTCATTGACTTCCAGGAACTTTTTAATTTCCTCTTTTATTGCATCGATGATCCATTCTTCATTAAGTAATGAGTTATTTAGTTTCCAGCTGTTTGCATGTTTTTTGTCTTTACTTTTGTTGTTGAGTTCTACTTTTACTGCATTGTGGTCAGATAGTATGCACGGTATTATTTCTATTTTCTTATATTGCTGAGGCTTGCTTTGTGCCCTAGGATATGATCTATTTTGGAGAAGTTTCCATGGGCTGCTGAGAAGAATGTATATTGTGTAGAGGTTGGATGAAATGTTCTGTAGACATCTACTAGGTCCATTTGATCAATTGCATATTTTAGATCTTGGATTTCTTTATTGAGTTTTGTTTGGATGACCTATCTATTTGATGATAATGGAGTGTTTAAAGTCTCCACCAACACCTGTTTGGCATTATATTGCTTTTAGTCTTTTCAGGTTATGTTTGATGAAATTGGGTGTGTTGACATGGATGCATACAGATATGATTATTATTTCCTTTGTCTATTTCCCCTTTATTAGTATGGAATGTTCTTCTTTATCTCGTTTGATTCACATGTAGGTTTGAAGTCTACCTTTGTTTTAGTTTCTGCTTATCATGGAAGACTTTTATTGCTCCATCTATTTGAATGATAGCTTTGCTGGGTAGAGTATCCTGGGGTTGAAGTTATTTTCATTCAGTGCCCGGAAGATCTCACCCACCTCTTCTGCTTTTAATGTTTTGTTGAGAAGTCTGCTGTGATTTTGATGGGTTTACCTTTGTATGTTAACTTGTTTTTTCTCTCTTACAGCCTTCAATATTCTTTCCTTAGTTTCTGAATTGTTTGTTTTAATGATGATATGTCGTGGAGTAGTTCTATTTTGATCTGGTCTGTTTGGTGTCCTGGAGGCCTCTTTGCATTGTATGGAATATCTTTCTCTAGATTTGGGAAATTTTCCATTATTATTTTTGTTGAATATATTACGCATTCTTTGCTTGCACCTCTTCTCCTTCTTCGAATGCCCATGATTCTCAAGTTTGGTCTTTTGATGGAGTCAGTGAGTTTCTTGCATTTTCTTTTCACAGGTCTTGAGTTGTTTAATTAATAGTTCTTCGGTTTTTCCTTTAATTACCATTTCATCTTCAAGTTCTGAGATTCTGTTTCTGTTTGTTCTATTCTGCTGGATTGGCCTTCCGTTTTGTTTTGCAGTTCTGTTTCGTTCTTTTTTTCTGGAGGTTTTCCATATCCTGGCAGTTTTTCTCTTTAATTTGTTGTTTTTGTCCTGAGTTTCATTTATCCATTAATTCTTGTGTTCTTGTTTCACTTTTGTGTTTATACAGTGCTTCTATGGTTTCCTTTATTTCTTCTTTTTGCTTTTTCAATTCTCTATTTTTTATTGTCTTGGAATTTCTTGAGTGTCTCCTGTAACATTTTGTTGACCCTATCCAGTATCAATCTTATAATTCTCATTGAGTACCTTGTAGTTGATTCTTCTTTTAAATTATTCTGTGGGCTTCAATTGGGTCTTTGGGCATGTTTCTCTCATTTTGTTGAGTCTGGGATCTGATTTCCTGTTCTCGTTCATTCCCTCTGGTTTCCTGTACTATTTTTTGCTGTGGGGTACCTGGTTTTTCCCTCTCCCTGTTTTTTCTGTCTTCCCGTCATTGGTCTTGGGTGTTGGTTCCCTGTCCCTGTCTGTGTTGTAATTAAGTAATTTTCTAGCTTGGTATCAATAACAATGGGTAATATGAGAATGGAAAGAGTGGAGCTGAGATGGGAAAAGCAAGAAGTTAAAGCAAAGGGGAAAACAGAATAATCAGACAAGAGGGAGAAAAGCAGAACAAGGTATCAGACAAAGAGAGTTTCCAAAAGGTATAAACAGGGAGTGTTTAGTGTACTAATCGACAGTAAGCCGAAACAGACAATAGAGAGACAGAGAGAGGATTAAAAATCAGATAAAATAAAAATAAGTATATGAAAAGTAATATCCTATATATAATGAATTAAAATAAAATGGAAAATAGAAAATTAAAAAAAAAAAAAGTCCCAAAGTTATATGCAATGCAATTTCAGTCTTAATATTGGGCGTTCTTTCTCCATCTCCAGTCCTGGAGTTGGTGCTCAGATGTTGTTTCTGTAGTTTGTCTCATCAAGGGGGTGCAATAAAGTAGACAAAACTGGCACTACACACACACATCAGAAAAAAAAAAAGCCCCACAAGTTCAAAGGTATAACAGGGAGTGTTAGTGTACTAATCGACAGTAAGCTGAACAGACAATAGAGAGACAGAGAGAGGATTGAAAATCAAAGATAAAAAAAATAAAAAATAAGTATATGAAAGTAATATCTATATTATAAAAATGAATTAAAATAAAATGAAAATAGAAAATTAAAAAAAAAAAAAATCCAAGTTTATATGCAATGCAATTTCAGTCTTAATAATTTGGGGTCCTCTCAATCTCCAGTCCTGGAGTTGGTGCCTCAGATGTTGTTCTGTAGTTGTCTCATCAAAGGGGATGCATAAAGTAGAACAAAACTACAACTCACACACACACACAGAAAAAAAAAAAAGCCCCACCAAGTGTCCCAGTTCAAATGCAATACAGTTTCAGTAAGTTTTTCGCTTGCAGGTGTAATTCGGTTGTTCTCTCATCAAAGGTAGGGAGAAAAAGAAAAAAAAGCGTCTGGAGGCAGTTCTGAGAGTGGTATCTGCAACTGTGGCTTGCTGCCTGCTGCTCTCAGCCTGTAGCTGGCGGCGTTATTTATGCAGATCTCTGGGGTGAGCTAGCACTCACCTGGTCCCACAGGCTTTGTTTGCTCAGAGTTCTCCTGTGCGGGGGCCTCTGCTACAGGCTTTCCCTTTCCAAGCACTGGGAAAGGTGACACTGCCCCGTTGTCAGGCCTGCGTGTTTTATTTACAGTTCACGTGGGAAGTGGGTCTTCCCTCCTCTCACAGCGTCCCCCGCTCCTGGTTGCTGGGCGCGCGCCCGCCCCCGCCAGAGCCTCTCCGGCCCCCCGGCTTGTTTATTTACAGTCCCGGGAAGGGTTCCCTTCCCCCAATCTTCAGCGCTCAGGGCCCCACCCTCTTTCCAGCGTGTCTTAACTGTTCTTATTGCTTAGTACTCAGTTTCTCTTTTTTTTCCCGGGTGGAGGTCAGTCTGTCCAGGGGGCTATGCTGCTCTGGCCCAGGCTTGTCTGTGGGGCTACCGCGGTACCGCGAAGCTCACCTGGTCCGCGTCTTCCCAAGCCGTATGGGCCGCCGGCCACTGGCGGCCGGGGGCCTCCTCGGTTCTCCGTTTAACGTGAAGTGGGATTCTCTGCGCCGGCTGGAGATGTGGAGGAGTCAAAGTTATGCCTTTTCTCGGTGATTATGCCTGCAAAGTGTGTCTCCAGCATCTCTCCAAGATTTCACTATAGGAGGGTCGCTTTCTGCTTCCTACCTCTAGCCGCCATCTTGGAATTCCTCTAGTCGGTGAGTTCTTACATATTCCTTTCACGGGTCTTGAGTTGTCTGACTAATAGTTCTTCAGTTTTACCTTTAATTTCCATTTCGTCTTCAAGTACTGAGATTTGGCTTGTTCTAGTCTGCTGGATTGGCCTTCCATTTTGTTTTGTATTTCTCTTTCATTTTTTTTTCTGAGGTTTTCCATATCGTGGGTCACTTCCTCTTTAATATGTAATTTTCTTCATTTCCCTCTGAATGCTGTACTAACTTATTTTTGGGGGGAGAATAGTTTCCATTCTTTTTTCATCTTCACATCATTCCACTTGGTACTGCTTCTGACCCTGTTCTATGTGTAATTTAGTATTAGCTAACTTATAATAGTAAAACTAACAAAACGAAGAAAGAAGGAGAAAAAAGAAGGAAAAGAAAAAAATAAAGAGCCAAAGAAATCAACAGGGTGATATGGTGGACAATAAGATAGCGAACAAGACAAACAAATACTTACAGAAAAGAGAAAAAGGATAAAAGAAAAAATAATTCCTGGTTCAGGAGCAGCAGAATTTCAGTCTTGGTAGTTCTGGTGTTACTCCTTTAGCATCTAGTCATGTTTGTCTGCATCTCGTAGGCAGGTTTGGATCCAGCAATGGGTGGTGTTGCAGCCCTCCTCTGGCAGGCAGCAGCCACTGTGCCAGTGGGTGGTGTTCTGGTGGGCCTGTGGGGTGGCTGCCTGGTGGACCTGTGGGGTGGCTGCCTGGTGGGTCGGCGGGGTGGCAGCCCAGCTACTCTGTGTGTTGGAGGTCTGGAGGGCTTGTGGGTTGGAGGCCCAGCAGGCTGGCCAGTATTGATCAGGTGGGTCTGCATGGTAGTGGCCTTGTGGGCCTGCAGGACAGAGGCCCAGTGGACCACCAGGAGGTGGCAGCATGGGGGTGGCCACCTGCTTTTTCAGTGTATTGTGTCATGGAGAAGCCTTCCATGGCTGGGGTCAGGGTGCCAAAGTGTCAGTTCTCCCTTGTGCTTTACCTCAGCCAAGTGTGTCTCCAGCATATCAGCAAGGTCCCTGATTCATGGAGCTCACACAGTCTGCATCTGTGTCCCAGTCACCATTTTGGGTCCTCTTTGAGTTGATACTTTTTTTTTTTTTTTTTACTTGTTTGGGCTGCTGTTAGATTATCTTAATCAAAATTACTACTAGATGATAAGACTCAAAAACTTGTTACATTATTTGGTATACTGATAATCATTTAAAATAAAAAGACTGTCATGTGAAAAAATGAAGGGAGGGAAGAAGAGAGGGATGGAAGGAAGAAGGGAGGGAGGAAGAGAAAGAGTCCTATGTATAGGGAAAGCTTCATGCACAAAGATCATCAGGCAATATTATTGGAGCCCCTGACCATAAAGCCTGGCTCTGGTCCAAATGCTCACCAGCATTAAGAAAAAATGACATAATATAAAGAAGTGCAAATGAAGCCAGGTGTGGTGGTTCATACCTCTAATCCCAGCTGAGACAGGAGGATTGCAAGTTGGAGGTCAACCCAGGCTATATAGTGAAACCCTATAAAAACATTATTTATACTTTTGGCCAAAACTGGGGAGAGAGAAGTTCTTGGTCCAGCATTGCTCACAACAGTGCCACAACTTAGAGAAAAGAGGAAACCAAAGCCAGGAAACATGCAGATGGAAATCACCTTTCTCCCGGAGAGGAGTCTCTTCTAGCATCAGGGCTTCTGCATGGAATTTTCTGAAGGAATCCTAATTCTTACCACCCTATCATTGTTATACTCCCCCCTTTCCTTGTGCATTCCTCAGTCTTGAAGGATTTGGGGTACCATGCTATCTGTTGCTGGACTGGTGTGTAGATTCCATCAAGGGCACCTGAAACACATCAGTTAAAAAAAAAACAAACCAAAAATTGCCACATGCCTGTGCCTGAAATACCACAAGCAGAGCACGTGGAAGCCAAGGTTGGAAGGTGTTCGATAACTCTCCCTATAAGATGACAGGAAGCATGCACAGGAGCCCTCTTTGTTATGGCTCTCTTGGCTCTGCTTGTTTTCTTTTGGGAGGGCTGATACAAATGACTCCACCTTGAGCTGGACATTCTTCCCCTCCTGTCTCCAAACTTTTCCTCTGAAGGTGAGTTGATACTTTTTTAATAGATGTAATTTCCTGAAATATGACTGGAGTACATATGCATATGGTATTTTAGAAGAAAGAAAGAAAAATCCAGAGGAATCAATAAAGAGGAAGTGAAGAGAGATGAGTACCAGGGCTCAACAGCTCTTTCCATTGTAGATATGATAAAGCCCTTCTCTGAAGTGATTTACCTACCCTCCATTTGCCTTCATATAGACATTTCCAGAGCACCTACAAGGTGTTTGAAATGCGCTACCTTTAAATTCATACATGATAGTCACAAAAAATGTTACTCCACTATAGATACATACATGCAGTGCTTGAAATTTGTTTTTAAAAACTTCCTTCCTTTTGTACTTTCTGAATCCAAGGATGTAATCTTTTATTGTCATTATCATTTTCTTTCTTCCAATCTTTCCAGTCTGCATTTTTGTCAAAATTATCCATGTATATACACATGTAAATTTTTCTACAAATATTCTTACAAAATAGTAGTATTTGTTTTATCAATTCTTCTCATATTTATTTCTTCCTAGAAGCCAGTTTTCAACTGTTGAATCAAATTATGTTGGTGCTTTCCTCCACATCTCTATGTAGTGGGCCTATCTTGCTAATTTAGTTTTCTTTTGGCTCTTTTGTGGCTTCCCATTTTGGAGAAGGAGGATTTGAGGCAGTAATCCCTATAATAAAGTACTAACTTTTCCATTTCCCAACAAAACAATAGAACAATTTACAATATTACAACTATAACTCTGCTATTATGAACTAACTATATCATTTGCAATGTTTATTTCTCTTTACTTGAACAATTTTTCCCAGAGTTAATTATTGAGTTAAAATTTTGCTCAGATTTCCTTTATAATTAATTAAATTCCAAAAGCATTGCCAGTTTTCTGAATCTCCTTTTAAGACATGCAGATATATCCACTATCTTAGGAATTTGTCTTTAGAGAAGTCTCTCCTGGAGGAATTACATGTGCAGTAGCACTTAGATATGCTCTGTATTTGAGGAACACTTACTATACTGGTTTCCAATGAGGGTTCTAACAGACTTTTCACACTGTCTGGCCACATTAAAACTACACAAGTTTGTTCTATTGCTGCCCAGAAGCCAGAAGTCTGAAATCTGTAACACTGTGATGAAACCAAGAAGTTGATAGTGTCATCCTATCCAGAGGCTCAAAGAAAGCATCCTTCCTTACCTTCCCACCTTCTATGGCTGCTTGCATTCCTTAGCTTGCACCCACAAAACTCCACTGCCCTCCTTTTTCCTCTACACATTCATTCTTCATTGCCATTAATCTACTTGTGCATAGAAGATTGCAGGATTTTCTATTTATCCTTTTTAGTATGAAATTTTACAGACACCAGGCACACCCTACTCGGGCTCACTGAATACTGAAGATGAAAATATGGAAGGAAGGCAGAGAAAATGAAAACATTTATAGAGAAACAAAGATAATAATTATAGCAGAATACCCATCAGAAAATGGAAAGACAACAAAGTATTGAAAAGAATAATATGTCTACCCATAATTCTTCAGTGAAAATGCCTTTCAAAAATGAAGACAACATAATTTTTAGAGAAATAAAATTTGAATTTATTTCAAGCACACCCTTAAGACAAAATACTGTTTCAGGAATTTCTTTAGGCTGAAAAATTATGTAAAACTTACACATACAAATGAGGAAAATGGAATGCTAAAACATGTTAAAAAGACTTTAAAAGTATTCTGTCTAGAGCAGGCCTACAACACCACTTTAGATGTAAACTGTATGACAACAATAACATGATGAATTGGGAAGAAAATAGAAGTATACTATGTGAGCATTCTAATAATTTTATTAATTGATGTAATACTATTTGAAGGTAGACTAAAAACTGTGTAAATTATAAGTCATAAAGCAAGCACTATACTTTTTAAAACTCAAAAGTTGTAATTAATAAGTCAAAATGGAAATGAAATTATAAAAATATCAAGCCATCAATAATGCAGCAAGAAAGAGCAAATTATTACAAATGTTGAATAGGAAAAAAATCTAGCAGGGGCTAAATTGTTGAAAATTACTCACAAACTGTTGTCACAGAAACAATGAAAATAGTTTGAACAACTATTTACACATAAAAACATCTTCACAAATGTTAGAGAAAACAGAAGAGGGATCACAATACCTAGATGTAGCACATAAATTAAGAAAGGTGCATTGAAGAAAGTATGTAGGAAGTTTTGAATTTTCCAAACTTTGCTCTCCCCAACCTCAGGCAGAACAACATGAAGAATTAGTACCTATGTGGAGAAGAGACAGAGGAGAGACCACAATATTTTCACTTCATTTCCAATACCATGACCACGATAGTAAAACTCTGCACCCAGAAGGTCCCTCCCTGCCTTGTCTATACCCATGGACTAAGCCTCCCATCCCAGACCCCACATCTCCAGGCTTCACCATAGTGAAGTCAATCTTCATTGTACACCATATCAGATCCCTCCCTCTCATCAGCTATCCTGTCCCAAAGCTGAACTGGTCCACCTCCCAGTTTCAGGTATCTCTTATCACCACACTGGCCTAGTAGAAATGAGCTTCAGACTGGTTCCTGGGGAGACACACTTCAGGCCCTCTTTATAAGACCAATCCTAGGATCACCCTAGATAATTCAAGCTGAAAGCCCACTTACCTGGTGAACCAGGCAACAGGCCAACCAGCCCATGACTTCAGAAGCAATCCCTACTATGATGTATATCAGCCATCTTACCCAGAATCTCCACAGGAGCTGATACAGAAAGGGCTATCTGAGGCAAAGCCACTCTGTGAAGATTAGAGTATGTACTTTTTCAAATGGGCAGACACCAATGCATGACCACAAGGATCATGGATAAGCAGGGAGACCAACATACAGACCTTTAAAATGATCTCCTTCCATCCAGTAGACCTGCCCTGCATATGAAGGAAGTAAAGAAAATGAAAAAGAATAAAAAATCTGCAATGCACCTGTGATTATACCAATGTTCCAGGTCAGATTGCTAAATGTTGGCCTACTACAAATTAAGGTGGTTCAGCTTAAGTGAAATAGATGAGGATGCAGGAATGTCAGAAAACAGCTATGCTATGGATGACCTTGATTACTTAACTAAGTTGTCTGAAACAGCCTCTAAGGATTATGAGCTGGCTTACCCTAATTATAAGAATACATATAGCTGCTAATTGAACAACTTAGAATGGAGTGTAAAAATTCTGTTAGCTTACTTCAAATCCAAGATTCAATTCATTTATGTAAAAACAAATAAAACTATTAAAAAGTCACTCTGAAATACTTATAGGAAAAATTAAATAAATGAAAAATAAGGTCAATGGAGTACAAAAGGAGGTATCAGAAACAAAGAAGCTCTGGTGTCTAGTGGCTCATATGTGTAATCCTAGCTACTAGGAGACAGAGATCACGAGGATCATGGTTCAAAGCCAGCCCAGACAAATAGTTCCACAAGACCCTATACCAAAAAAAAAAACCCTTCAAAAGAAAGGGCTGGTGGAGTGGCTCAAGGTGAAGGCCCTGAGTTCAAGCCCCAGTACCACAAAAAAAAAGTATTGCTAAGTGTAGTGGTGCGTCCTGCAATCTCCGTACTTAGGATGATATGATAAGAAAGTTGGATCCAAAGGTTAGCCTGGGCCACATAGGGAATTGCTGTCTTAAAAATAAATAAATAAATAAATAAATATCACAGAACATGATGACAAAGTATTTTTGC